CTGTGGCTGTCCCACAATGCCGGAATGTTAGGGGCATACACACTCACACCGTGGAAACTGTCCTTAAACACTCGCAGGTTCCAGTTATCCAGAAGCCCTACCACCGTAGCCTACGCTCTCTATGATACTGTACACTTCATTGATATAATTTAAGTGACTGAACAGCTTTTGTAAATAATATGTATGCGGTGGCATTTATAATTTATTAAAGATGTATCACGGAGCTCGTAAGGTGGTATATACTGTAATAGAGTAGTGAGTGTTTGTGGTTGTGAGCGCGACGAAGATTTCCTCACTTGACGATGGACTGTGACAACCATTGACAACTCTGGCCATGCGACCAGGACAGATTTTGGAGTGTCCTTTAGCGAGCAATGGGGGGAGGGGATGGGGAGGGTTGGGTGGGGGTAAAGGAAGGGGGAGTTAAGGGATCAGAACCGCTTCTAATGGGATTTAAACCCAAATGGCTGGATTAACGTCAGGTTTATTGGTTATGAAATTTTTTCTTCGTCAATGCCATCATAATCTGGTTTTTGGTCTTTGGTCACCCGGTCTCACATTCCTGGGCGGTGGCGGAGGTCCTGGACCCGCTACCGCCCACAGTTTTTCTTGGTCTGCCTTTGTGCTCTGAAAATGATTCATATGTGAGCAAACTGATCCGGGATGTGTTGTCCTTGTTAATGGGGCTAATCTAGTGCAGCTTCTTGGCCTGCTGGCCAGGCCACTGCTGGGCCTCTCGGTATTAGAAGTATCCAGCAAACAACCTGTACTGTGGTTACCTTTAAAAGGATAAACATTGCATTGTTTGTTTTCTCATCTGTTAAATCTCCTCGCCATCAATGTACAGTATTGATTTTATTATAATATCCTCTGTGCTGTCAGCAAGTGTGGATCTGTGTAAATTCTATTTTATGGCTTTAATGTTATTACTCACCTGTCCATGGACAAATATAAAACTACACAACTGTTTCTGCTGCAAATTAAGTATTTCCCCAACGTTTGCTGCAAAAGTGCTTAAGTAAAAAAAACATCTGTAATGGCCTGTAATATTCCAGTATAACCGGCAGTATCTAGGGCACCCTGAAAACATATAGGCTCCCAATGGCTCCCTGCAGCGTCTTCCAGCACCCACCGAGCACCCTAGGAACAGCCACTGGGCTCACGGCGCCGCTCCCAATCTTGCCCACAGCGGGTTACAGCGGCGGCCCCAGGAAGAGGTTTATAAAGATTTCTGTTTTGAACTTCTAGGCTTTGTATTGTCCCGACCCCGTTTGGTTGGGCCGGCTTTGTGACTGCTGGCTTTGTGAGGGAAGGGGTAGTCTGGTCCAGGAGGGAGGGAGGGAGGGAGGGAGGGAGAGAGAGAGAGAGAGAGAGAGAGAGAGAGAGAGAGAGAGAGTTAAGGAAAGGAATGGTGGTAACTAAGGAAGAAGTAAAGGTAATAAGATAAAGGGCAAAATGACTCAATGGGATGGGAATGAAAGGAAAAGAGAAAAAGAGAAGAAGAAGAAGAAGAAGAAGAAGAAGAAGAGGGGAATGGTGAACTGGGAGTAGAGGAAAAAGGAGACCAAAATATCGATCTACGAAAAGCAGTAGAGAGAGAAACGTCAATAAATATATGAAATAAGGATAGATGGAAACATTACCTGTATAGGAGAAGTAGCCAAGAGACCAGAGATGATATTGATTTTATTGTTATGAGGTTTCGGATACAGATGACTTAACTGACTTAATGTATAGGAGGACAGACAAGTTGGATCGGAGAAAAATTGATGAATTATGAAAGTGAATAAACAATTAAGTCACTATGGCCGTAAAACGATGATGATGGTAATGATGATGATGATGATGATTATGATGAATGTGATGATGATGATGATGATGATGAATATATGAAAAGAGAAGCGGTAAATGATTGCACGCCAAAAGATACAAATAAAAATGGAAATATTTGCTCACTGGATAAGCCATAAACACTAAAAGTACACAAATAAGGAACAGAACGAGAACAGAAAATCCAATTAGGATGAATCACTTTTTTAAATATAATTTTAGAAGACAATAATTAGTAAAGGGAAGAAGGAAAAGTTAAGAAAGTGTTAGTTTGGGTGATGAGAGCTGGAGGTGAGGAAAGGAAGGAGGGAGAGAGGGATGGAGGAAAGAGAGGAGGGAGAGAGCTGTAATACCACTCTCAGGCTGTAATACCACTCATAAGCTATAATAACACACATAAGCTGTAATACCACTCTCAGGCTGTAATACCACTCATAAGCTATAATAACACACATAAGCTGTAATACCACACACTGGCTGTAATGACACACATAAGCTGTAATAACACACATAAGCTGTAATAACACACATAAGCTGTAATAAGACACATAAGCTGTATTGCCACGCATAAGCTGTGATAACACACACAGGCTGTAATATCACACATAAGCTGTAATAACACAATTAAGCTGTAATAACACACATAAGCTGTCCTCAAGTGACGAATTTCTCCCTTTTTGTAGTTTTCGAACACCGTTTTGTTGAATCTTTCTCTTGAATTTCCTTTTTTACAGTTTCTTAATTTCTTTCGTTCTCTGACTGCTTTTGTTTTCTCTTAGTCTTCCTCTTGATATTCTCAATCTTTGTCTTTCGCTTCTCTTATTTCAGCCTTTTTTATGTTTTCTCGTATTATTATGTTTTCATTCTTTTTTCTTTGTTTATTATTTCTGTTCTTCTTCTTCTTCTTCTTCTTCTTCTCGTTTTGTATCTCTGTTTTCTTTCATTATTTGTATTCACTGTCTCTTATCGTCACAAGGAAGAGCTTCTCACAGCTATACGAACGCTATTGTTTTGAGCAGCCCTTGACCCGAGTGTTGTGATGAAGAGTTGTTTTGACGAGATGCTTTGACCTGTTTTGAAGCTTAGGAGGTGACTGACGAGCACGTAGGAGGTCAGGGTTAGGTGAGGTAGATGTGCTCCACCCTCCCTCCCTCCCTCCCTCCCCCCTTCTCCATCTATTCTGGTAATTGAGTTTAATTTTATTCTCTTACCTTATCTCCCTTTCGTCTCAGCCTCCCCTCCCACCTACCTTCCTCTTTCCTCTTATACACACCTGTCCCCTTACATACACCTGTCCCCTCATATACACCTGTCCCCTCACATACACCTGCCCCCTCATATACACCTGTCCCCTCACATACACCTGTCCCCTCATATACACCTATCCCCTCACCCCCTCCTTCAGTCGTACTTCAGGGCCATGGGGTCAATCTCATCGCTGTAACTCTTCTCGGATTTCAACTCATGTTTCTCTCAGCACTCCTCCTTGATGCCCTCCCTTGTCCCCTCACCCTGGCTCCTCCTACTCCTCCTAGACACCACCTTTGTTCATTCACCCTGCCCCCTCCTCCTCCAAGACACCCGTTCTTCTTGTTGTCCTCCCCTTTCACCCCCTAACTCCTTCACACAACCTCGGCTTCAGCGTCAGCCAACCCTCTATAACCTTCCCTCGGCCTCAGCGTCAGCCAACCCTCTATAACCCTTCCCCTCGGCGTCAGTCCACCCTCCCATAACCTTCCTCGGCCCTCATGTCAGCCATCCTCTATAACCTTCCTCGGCCTCTGCGGTCAGCCAACCTCTATAACCTTCGGCCCTTCAGCGTCAGGCCAACCCTCTAGAGCCTGCAACCTTCCTCGGCCTCTGCGTCAGCCAACCCCTATAATCCCTCTCGGCCTCAGCGTCAGCCCACAACCCTCTATAGAGTTTATATAACCTTCCCTCGGCCCTTCAGCGCGTCAGTCCTCCTATAACTTTTCCTCGGCCTCAGCGTCAGCCAACCCTCTATAGAGTTCATATACCTTCGGCCTCAGCGTCAGCCAACCCCTATAATCTTCCTCGGCCTCGAAGCGTCAGCCAACCCTCTATAATCTTCCTCCTCGGCCTCAGCGCGTCAGCCAACCTCTATATATAACCTTCCCTCGGCTTCAGCGTCAGCCATCCCTCTATAACCTTCCTTCGGCCTCAGCGTCAGTCCACCCTCCTATAACCTTCCCTCGGCTTCAGCGTCAGCCATCCCTCTATAACCTTCCTTCGGCCTCAGCGTCAGTCCACCCTCCTATAACCTTCCCTCGGCTTCAGCGTCAGCCATCCCTCTGTAACCTTCCCTCGGCCTCAGCGTCAGCCAACCCTCTATAACCTTCCCTCGGCTTCAGCGTCAGCCATCCCTCCTATAATCCACACTCTCCCTTTCTAACCTCAGCCTTTCATCATCACCTTATCCCCCCTGTCCACTCCAACACACCTACCCCCCTCGGAGATGACGTGGGGAGGGAGGGAGGGGAGAGTTGATCGTTTTTGCGAAAGGGTTAAAAGCCGTCTACCCCCCCGAACCGATTTAACCCCCGCTGTCGGATCGGCTTTGTTGGCGTGTGTTTGTGTCGGTCCCCCCCGCGGAGTGTTTGTTTGTCCCAGCCACTGAGCCGATTGTGGCAGATTGTGACAATTGTTGGCGGCTTAGGGAGCGAGGGAAGGAGGCTAGTTACGGCGGGCAATGAGTGCAAGGTCTTCTCTGATCATCATTGGTTCCGTTTTCTCGGTGTTGGTGCGGAGACGAGATGGCCAATAGTCCTGTTAGCTTTGTTACACATATTTTAATTATTTCCCTGAATATAATTATATCTTCATGTGCCTTGTTTAATTAAGGAGTCAGGCTATATACCAGTATAATTTTCTACGTATTGTGAAGTATAAACTAGTCGTATGTTGCCCTTTACACGCCGTCTTTTCATTAATGCAGTATTTTGGTACCTGGGCGACAGAGATGTGGTGACAGGCAGGAGTTTCTTAACTTAATTTCTTTCAAGAGGGAAACTTCAATGCTTAAAGCAATTTTTTTCTTTATTAAACTTAACATTAACTTTATTATCGACACTTATGATTTATTAGTTTATAGAGACGTGTGCTTGTCTTGGGCTAGTTAATCTAATACCCAGTGTTCTTCCCCCGTGCAGGTGGGTCTGATCTACCGACACTAGTGCGAGGTCAAGCGGACATTTTAGGTAGGTGTCAAGGCCATCTTGATTACCTTAAACTCCCTTACCTGTCCCCTGTGTCACTCTACTCCTCTTACCACTGCTCGTAGTCCCTCAGTGTAGCTGCTCGTGTGGCTCAGTGTAGCTGCTCGTGTATCTCAGTGTAGCTAAGTATAGCTGCTCGTGTGGCTCAGTGTAGCTGCTCGTGGCTCAGTGTCGCTGCTCGTGTTGCCAGTGTCGCTGCTCGTGTAGTGTCGCTCAGTGTCGCTGCTCGTGTGGCTCAGTGTCGCTGCTGTGTGGCTCAGTGTGGCTCAGTGAAGCTGCTCAGTGTAGCTGCTCGTGTGGCAGTGTCGCTACTCGTGTGGCTCAGTGTTGCTGCTCGTGTGGCTCAGTGTAGCTGCTCGTGTAGCTCAGTGTAGCTGCTCAAGCTGTAGCTACTCGTGTAGCTCAGTGTAGCTGCCCGTAGTCCCTCAGTGTAGCTGCCCGTAATCCCTCAGTGTAGCTGCCTGTAGTACCTAAGTGCCAGCTGCCTGTAGCCCTCAGTGTAGCTGCCCGTAGTCCCTCAGTGAAGCTGCCTGTAGCCCCTCAGTGCAGCTGCCCGTAGTCCCTCAGTGTAGCTGCCTGTAGCCCCTCAGTGTAGCTGCCCGTAGTCCCTCAGTGTAGCTGCCCGTAGTCCCTCAGTGTAGCCGCCCGTAGTCCCTCAGTGTAGCTGCCTGTAACCCCTCAGTGTAGCTGCCTGTAGCCCTTCAGTGTAGCTCCCATCAGCGTTTTTATTTTTCGTAGTGATCCATTGACAGTAGATGTCCTCGCCTGTGTCTCTATGTTTTACTGTTTACTTTTTTTTTATTACTATCTGTTTTTCTTCCCTTCTTTTGTTTTTGTTTTATATTTGGTGTTGTTTCCTCATCCGGCTGTGAGTTACCGATGTAGTAGATATGAAGTAAACAAAAACGAAAACAAAATTGAGCATCTCTAGTTATGTGTTGTATCGCTGTTTTAGTCTCACTGGGGATCACGTCTTAGTATTTCCCTGTGTCATGCCATCATATACAGTACATCAAGTGCGTGCTATATATTCCATAAGACACTCATAAGGGATCGTCTTACTGATTACTTCCACATTCTTCTATCTATAGTATTGTTGTCTGCACCTCTAGTCTATCCTTTCAACCCTTTTAAATGTTTAGGGATCTGTCTGGCTCTCTGAACATCCTGGCTTTATGTGCTATAAATGTGTATTGTGTAACTGTACATTCTTTGTATTATTAGTGTTATATATTGTTATTTAAGTTGGGTTAAGTGACAAAGATCCAAGAAGAGTTTTTTTTTTATTGTTACATACGTTGAAGTGACTATCAGCAGCAGTAGTTTATTGTCTGTTGGAAATATTATATAGTTAGGGTTTTTTTTATATCGCCACATCTGACGTCTTCCGTAACAGCATCTCTCCTTGTGTCGAGAACCTGTCCTTACATTATCCAGTCTTATCATCAAACGTATCCTCTGGCTCTCTCATATCCTTCCCCCGGGGAGTCAAAGGTAATCCTCAGTCACCTCTATATCCAACAATGCCACCCCAGGCTCCTCCTCGACCACAGTCAACCTTCCCTTCCACGATGATCCTATCCTTCCCACCCACCATACTGCCATCCTCCCATTATACAAATAAGCATATGCTTCTATTCCACCATTACTGCTAATCTCCCATCCCACCATAGGCACCCATCCTTGCCACCAGATTGACAGCTTTCTCTTCCACCGCGTTGGCAGCATCCCTTTCCTTCACATCATAAGTCTCCCCTTCTATTACACTTTTAGACTTCTGTTCCAACATACCGTCAATATTCCCTCCTAGTATACAGTAACCCCCCCTTCCACTATAATGTCAACCTTCCCTGCAAGCACACACAGACCCTTCCCTTCCCACAGACTACTAGTTATCCCTCCCAATACACAACAACCCTCCCTTTCCATCGCACTATAAACCTCCTGCTGCACCACACCTCCAGCCTCCTCTTCCACCACACTGTAAGCCTCCCCTCCCAGCACACAGCGACCCACCTCTTCCACCACACTTTCAACTTCCCTTCCCAGCATACAACGGCCCTCCCCACTACCTTAATAGTCTTCCCTCGCACTGCCCTGGAAAGAAGCCTCAAGCTGAAAAATAAGTGCTGGAAATTAGGGATGGAAATCTCTCTCTCTCTCCTTTGGGGCAGGGAACAGTACCCTGATCTTCGTAGCCCACTGACCAAACACGCCGAGGAGGTAAGTAGGCAGGTAGGGAGGGAAAGTACCCTTGGAGGTATCCGGGGAGGTAATCGGGGATGGGTGGTGGGTTGGGGTTGGGGGACACAAGGAAGGAACCACCACCCTGGGTGATGCTTTCGCGAGCCACCACCGCCTTTGTCCAGGACTGAAAGTACCGGCAGGGCATCGCCACGCTAACAGTACTGTTTGTGTACTCTGCGAGGGTCGGATTGATGACGGTGGGTGTCAAAAAGAGGAGTCGAGGGCTATCATGTGTTCGTGTGCAGGTAAGGTGAATCAGTTGGGAGGCCGCCCCACCGGGACGAGAGGCAACCGACTCCACCATTTTCACCCTCATGTACTTGACTCTCCAGATTAGTTATCAAGTGATTATGATGACGTAGTTTTATGTTAGGTTGTGAGGAGTCTTAACACGAGATGAAGGACATAAGCTGTTTACTGGTCGCCCACAGTATATACAGTACAGCACTCCCACTATGTTTACAACACCGCCCACAGTGTGTAGCATACCCATACAGTGTCCAACACGCCCATGCTTTGTATGGCACTCCCACAATGTATACATTAGGCTCAAACTGTTTACAGCACGCCCACGCTGTTTACAGTTTATCCACAATTTAAATCACGGCACACTATGCACAGCGCGCCGGCGCCACTGCTACCCCACAATGTGTACACCACGCCCACTGCTGCTCCACAATGTGTACACCACGCCCACTGCTGCTCCACAATGTGTACACCACGCCCACTGCTGCTCCACATTGTGTACACCACACCCACTGCTGCCCCACATTGCTTACAGCACGCCACTGCTGCCCCACATTGTTAACAGCTCGACCACCGCTGCCTCACATTGTGTACACCACGCCCACCGCTGCCCGACATACCCCCCCTCGGCGCGGATTAAAAGTGCCATGCCGTGCGTCTCAGTGGCCGCTATGAAGTCGTCTGGCTGTTAGTGTGAGGCTCCACTAAACGTCTGTTTCAGCCATTCCAGAGGATCACCGGCCTAAACCATGCCTCCCATGTTACACGCCGGAGGAGGAGGAGGAGGGGAGACTGGGGAGGAAGAGGGGAGACTGGGGAGGAGGAGGGGAGACTGGGGAGTAGGAGGGGAGGAGACTGGAGAGGAGGGGTTGAAGGAAGATATAAATGAAAAAAAATATTACAGGAGAGAAGGAGAGAGGACAAAGAAGAGGAATAAGAGAAGAGGAGAACTAAACGAAGAAGGTGATGGAATAGGGAAGAAGGAGGAACAAGAGAGAAGGAAATAAGGGAAGATTGGTAGAGGGAGGGAAAAACAGCCCTTCCCCCCCCAAAAAAGTGAAAGAAGATAAACAATAAAAGGAATACAAGAGGAAGAATACGAACTAAAGAGAAAACATCAATAAAAGAGAAAATTCACCCTCTTAATATGTTGTTTATTATGACTAATCTTCATTAATAGGTCGGGGCTTTTGCCATTTGAACGCACACGAGAGGAGGAGATGGGCGCAGGCACAAAAAGCACATTCTCCTCTTAATAATATGTTTATTTTGACGTATCTTGTGTTTGTCGCCCCAGTTTAGTGTGGGAAGAGGGTGGGGTGGGGCGGGGGGGAGGGAGGGACGGGGCGCATTAAAACGAAAAGCTCTTTTATTTAATGTTGTGTTGGCTCGACGGTGTGTTTGTGTATATCTCCGGGTTATCATCTCTTTCTCTCGTTGTTTGTTCCTTGCTAGCTCGTGATGGACACACACACATACACACACACACACACACACACACACACACACACACACACACACACACACACTGAATAAATTTTCATATAATTCTGTCTCATATGTACCTAAAAGGATCTCACAAAAAATGCAAAATTTCCTCTCACATTTTATGAATACACTAATCAGTTACACAAGAGGGGTCACTGCTAGACGTATATGGGGGGGGGGGTGGCCAGTGTTGGGAGAGACAAGAGAGAGAGACAGCTGAGAGATAGAGAGGAGGAGGAGGAGGTACTACTTCCTCAACATCCAGCTGACACAGGAAGAAGATCTGGGAGCCATTGAGCGTCGCAGAATGAGCCGTTGTCCCAGTTTATGTTGGCCTTCGTCGTGAGGTTAAATTGCCGTAAATATACCTGAAGTGTCTATATATTATGTATTGTATCGGGAATAGACAAGCTGCAGACACTACGTAGCTCGTTTTTTGGAGGGTTCGAGGGATATTTGTGTGCGCATCACGGCCTTCCTTTATTCTAAGTGGTTTTGTGGTTTGTATTGTCTTGTATCTATAAACTTGTCGATTGTTCTTCAATCTGTTTACTTACTGAACAATTGACAGACATAAACGACCTTGAATGTTACCCAATAAAAGTGTTCTATATATATCGTAGTGTGTCGGTTTGGGGTATTTTTGGTGTTTATTTTGAGTAGAAGTTAAGCAGAGGTGAACACAGGGGATTAAACGGTGCGAGTTAGTTGAGCTGTGACTTCTTTTAGCCTCTCCTCCTCTTTTCCTATTTGTGATGGGGTGTTGGGAGGTATGGTAATACTGAGATGGTAAACATGATGAGTTCAAATCCAATTGTGATTTAAAACGAAGGTATAAGTGACATTGTTAGAAGAGGAAGTTGGGGGGGGGAGGTGTATGAGACAAGGGTTTTGAGCTACAAGGGAGAGGGTATAATAGTGTATGTGTGTCTACGATTAGGTCAGAGAGTGCGACTAAGGCAGGGGGGGAGGGGCGGGACATGGAGGAAGAAGGAAAGTGTATCTAAAAGGTACTGTAGAACTTGTGGTGGAAGGTGAAGGAGTGTGTCAGGGGAAAACAGTGTGTGAGGTCAAATGACGGAGT